TAACTGGTGACAATGACAAGAGGGAAGGATTTGGGGAAGACCATTCCACAATCTCGATGCACAGGCAGTAAATGATCGATCACCTAGAAGAGAGCATATTCGAGGACTCTCAAGCAGGTATTTACCTGCAGATGGCAAATTAGTTTTAGGGTTATAAAAATAGTCAACAAGTCTGAAATGTACACAGGGGCGATTAGATATCAATCAAAAGCTTATAAGCCATCAATTACAATAATATCCATTGCTTGTCTGTCTGTCAGAGGAGTAACAGCTCTCTGAAAACTCCAGATCAAGAGCTTTGACAATAGGAAGTTGTTGACCTAAAAACTAGCTACCGGTATTGACTTTATGACATTAAAGATAAACTTGAGTTCTGGTAAAAAAAGAAAATGAATTCTCACAGAATCGAACGAAACTTACACTGAATGTTCAAGATTACAAATAAATGTCACGTGCCAAACAATTTTGGAAGAAAATGTATACTGGCTGAGTAATGAGCAAAGAAAGATAAGGAAATCAGGGTAGTACTAGCCCGACACCATGTGTGTTGTCCCATATACATCTATCTGTGTAAGTGATTGTTACTTTACCAAGACTCTGCCAAATTTATGATGATTTTGATGACTCTAGAACCTTGCATTACACACCATTACTTACATGCTATATGATCAACTTTTCTGATCTATTCCACACCTTTTCTTTCACAATGCAATCGCATTACCAGTACTCAAGTTTATCTTTAATCTTATGTGCAATACGTGGAGTTCAAATATTCACAATGATTTTTGGAATTCATTACCAAAATATATTGCCCTTTGTAATAACCAAAGATTTTTCAAAAAATATCTGAAAATGTATTATTTGTCCAAATACTGACATAAAACATCACCATATTTTAGACTTTGCTGTTCCTCTGGCTTTTTTTTTGTTTTTTGTTTTTGTTTTTTATCCACTGTTTGTTTTTAATTTGTTAACATGTCTTTCAGTGAAAGAATGAGTTGAAAAACCAAATGATAATTTGTTTACATGTCTTTCAGCAACAGAACAAGTTGAAAAACCAAATGATAATTCATACTTTTAGGGAACTTATTCTACAAGGCCCTTTGGCCTTATTTTAGTTCCCCTTTTCTCATTTTCGACTAGTAAATTTGGTGTCTTTGATACTGTTAACTTGTACGATTGCATGTAATTTTATATATAATGTACGTAATGATCTATTGTTTTTATATGAAGATGGAAATAAATGAACAAATGAAAAGCATGGCTCATTGCCTCTGATCAGGTCTACCGGTTATGTCTTGCCAGTGACTGCAAATAAATTGAGGTTGAATGGGAAAATATTTTGCGTTCCCTTACCTTTATATTCTATGTTCATTCAGCTTTCCATTGATATAAAGCTGTATTTACATGTACATGTACATCGGATAAGGTCTTGAACTCGGTGTCATTTCATTGTGCACATACAAGTAACATCTATTTGGAGCCATTATTTTACGTAGAGACCGAGTGAAGGCCCTTTTGGTTCTAAAGGTATGCATACAATGCATGTGTTGGTGTATTAACGTGACTTGCTCGATTTCACATAATGTAGGCCTACATGTAGTATGGACATGCAAGTAGACCCTAGTTGGAATTGTTTGATGTTAAAAATGGATGTTAATGATAATCACAAAAAACAGCTTTGACAGTCGGTTGAAAAATCATGACCACAAACTACATTCAACAAAAGACAACAAAACATTTGCAATGGTCAAATGTTCAGTTAGGTGTAACAAAACAAAAAAAATATACCAACTATCTTTTTGTGAGAGATTTTTCGTTCAACTTTGGTAGAAAAATAGGTTTTTCACCTATCACAAATCTCCTTGGATGAGACACACTTTTTTCCGTCAGAAAAATTCAAAAGACGGGGGTGCGTCTTATACACAGGTAGATCTACAGGATATTTTGAGATATCGACTCAACACTCAAAATCTAGCCGGTCCAAATTTCTGTTTGGATTCAGAGGATAATTTTTCTGTCATCTTTATTTTTTAAAGACAACATTGTTACGATTATTTGTGTTCACAAGCGCTTTAACTTGCATCGTACTAAATACAAGTCCTTCCCAGCATGTCTTGGGTTTCTGAACGGTATACCTTACCGAATGTTGAAATAAGACGCGATCGGATCTGGCTTGCTGCCCCCAAAATAGGGGTGCGTCGTATACACAGGTGCGTCTTATACATGTACACAGAGATTTACAGAGATTAACGTTATACATCCACATGTTTTTCAACAGATCATATTTATAGATCTTTTCGGAGTAAATGTGGAGGTGTTGTCGTTAAGTGCCTCATTCACTCGACTCTCAATCCAAGGGAGGGTTTTAATATTAGTTCGAATCCCAGCCTGGCATAAACGTCCTTTGGCAAGACATTAATCTACATTTGCCACTTGCCACCCAGGTGTAAATGGATACCTGAAAAGCCAGAGCCAGGGAAAAAAATATTTATAAAATTTCGGGGGTTACTTTTCAAGCTTGCTTGCATTGAAATTACACTCTTTAATTTGTTTTGCATTGAACTCTATGCAATTCTTTGGGGGCTCTTTTATGACTTTCGGGAGCTCTTTTGGGCATTTCGGGGGCTACTTATTTGGCCAGCAGCTACTGTATGACTGAGGTTATAATTACTTATGTTGTAAAATGGCATTTAGATTGCCAATTTCTTCTCCCCTTTCGTGGACACATAAGTACATGTGTGTAACCAGGCGGTGGATATTTTACCAACACGCCAGAATTCACACTATGTACGCATCTTGGATGCGCTTTAAATACGCGTCCGTCCGTCGCCTATAAGCGTCCTGGCCACGGGCCCTCTCCTCATTCTGGATTCTGCTGCTGTGACAAACACACACACTCCAGAATCACCTAGCTTCTCGAATCATGCACCTCCCGGTTCACCTCAAGACCCGGGAGTTCTGAGTAGCTGAGCACCTACAGCTGAGCTGAGCTTAGCCGAGCTTAGCCGAGTACTACATATAATATAAGGTTAGTTAGTATTAGTCAGTGTCTTTGTTTCCTTCTTCATTCCGTCCATTCTTCTTCTTCTTCTTCAAGATAATCAGCCTCCTTCAATACTGAAGATTCTTGCAGATGCCGTATACTCGGCCTGGTTGGGGTATGCAGGTGGACCATTACACCGGGGTTTCCCTCTACTCTTCTACGAATAGTGCAATGGGTTCTTAACGTGCAAGGGTGGTGACTCTCCTGTACACAGGGCCTCCATTTAACGTCCTATCCGAGGGACGGAGTGTTTTCCACTTGACATAACCTGCATCTATGAACAAATGAAGGGGGCACGTTAACACACGATGCAGTCATCCGCCTGGGTGGGAGTCGAACCCGGGATCTTTGGTTCGACAGGCAGATGCTTTACCGACTGAGCCAACTCGCCTCCATTCCATCCATTTCACCGCACCGTAAGTAAGACGGTGGTCTAACTCCACCATCTTTCATACCATTTATTCTATCACTAACCACCCCATTTTACTTCACTTACTATAATCCTTATTCTCAGCGCCCCTGCTGTATATGCAAAAGAGGAGGCTAGAGCCCCTGAATACCCCACCCCCCCCCCCCCCTACTGAGCTATCACCACACAACATACAAGCAACATACAGCAAGATGAAATTGAAAACCACTTCAGAGCAAGCACAGTCAGTAGGGGCGCTGGTCCGAGAATGAGGATCGTCCTCATAAACGAGGATATCCTCATAAACACTGTCAAAATGCGTCCTCAAAAATAAGGATCGTCTGCATTTTCGCGGACGTTTCTTTTATCGGCGCTCTGCAGGTTTCAAGTTACCCAACCGCCTGCTGGCAATGCCAAAAAAGGGAATCCACGTATTAAAATACCCTCAGTTCACCATCTACTTCTATGGGTTGTCCGTCTTCCCGAGGATTTATCGCTCATAACTTGACAGTCTCTGTACAATGTCAATTGTGAAATGCATCAGGAAAATTTCAGCAGAATCTGTTTTTTTCGCATTGCCAAACGTGGGGATCGGAAATAAGATTCTTTTTGAGGGTGATCCTTATTTTAGAGGGCGCGCCTGTCCGCCTTTTCCAAGCCGATCCTCGTTTGTGCGGATGATTCTTATTCTCGTACAATCGCTTCTACTGAATTGGCAAAAGAAGAGGCTAGACTAGAGCCCATGAATACCCCACCCTCCCCCTACTGAACTATCACTACACAACATACAACATACAGCAAGATGAAATTGAAAACCTCCCCCCCCCCCCGCCCCCTCTCAAAAAAAGAAAACTTTCAAAAGAAAAAAAAGAGTAAACTTTCCCATGCATGAAATGTTCAGACTTCAGAGTCACTACGTTTCATGACACTTGCAGTGGAAGTTCTGACTTCTAAGTTCTCATCTTTTTTAATGAGAAAAATTACACAACTCGCAAGCTACACATCACTCATCAGAATTCATAATCATTCATCACAATTCACATGTCAATACGTATTCGCAATTCATTGTAATAAAACAGTTTCTTGCTGCGATATTGTTCTGTTTTCATGACATGTTACAGACTGAGCTGACAGAAGTTTTTGATCTTTTTTTTCTTCATGCAATCTAATGGTGCAGTGACATGCCATTGCCCGAATCGCTATGCAGGTTAGCATGGTTAGTGACACAGAGCCGCTAGCTAGCCGTGCGGTACGGCAGGCGAGGGCGAGGCGCGGCGCCAGGGCCAGGGCGAGGTCCTTAGATAAACGCGACGCGACGTCAACATAACAACTGCCCGGCCCGATCCACACGATCATGTGAAGACTACGGAGCAGTCAACACTTAAGTCAATGCACATTTTCTTATGAACGTGCTACGAACAATGACGGACGAAGCTTAGGCAAAGAAGTGAAGTAAAATCTACCAACGTAAATAAAAAGAATAACCTAAAGCCAAAGAGAGACAATAGTTACAATAATAGAAAAAAGAAAAACATGAACATTTACCCCATTAGCCAATCCATGGTGATATTTGTTGCAAAATCCAGTAAATTATGGGTCAACTTCCTCAGTGAAAGCAGCAAATTCCATAGTGCACCACATAATATTAATGGATAAATAAAAGTAGCACTCTGAAAGGAAGCACTATATATTAGAGTAGTCAATTTTGCAATCTTTAATGACTTTTGATAACTCTTTTTGCTTCCTTTTTTTTTTTGCTTTAAAATAATTTAAAGAGAGAGAAATAGATGTCAGTATTTAATTTATTGATCATTTAAACAACTTCCTGAATTCTCTTTTCAATTTCCAAATCCAGACAAAAATATCAATTTCTTTTCATGCACAGTTTACTTTTGCACCTAGGGTCGACTATGTAGACATTTTGTGAAAAATCATCACTTTTATCAATATGATTATCATTATTATTGTTATTTTTAAATGAATTATTATTATTATCATCATCAATATTATTATTATCATTAAATCATTTCAAATTATCATTATCGGTACTACGGTATACTATATTATTATTATGATAATCACTGGCGTAGGACCTACTGATGGGGGAGGGGCACTTGCCCGGGTGTTTTTTCGGGTTTCTGCATTTATATTTTAACATGTACCTCGCTTACATCCATTCAAAATCCATATTTTAAAAAATAATTGGGGGCTTGAAAATATTTGGGGTGGCTCTAGAACCCCTTCAGGCAGGCTTTCCCGGCAAATCTGCGCCTTTTAGGAAACCATGAAATGAACGTTTATCATACTATTAGATATTAGTACTTTTTTTATCTTTCAAATTCTTTGGCATTTATTTTCAAAACGGGTCTCATTTCTTTCAGTACCTTGACCCCAAATACACTATTATAAAGAGCAGGGGCTTTTCCTGCCAATTAAAAAAAAAACTGACCTCACAGTAACCGTAATGCAAGGTAAATAATCATCAAATTTGTCTTGCCACCCTGCATGGACATATGTTTTAAAATTAATATATTAATGAATAAATAAAGATAAAGGGAAATGTGGACTCATTAGAGAGAGAGATATAGATGCTGAAATAAATTCATTTTTTTAACATTACAGTAAACTTTGCAGGGGCGGATCCAGGAATTTCTTGCCGGGGGGGCACACGGTGGGAAAGAGATTGGCCGGGGGGCACGCCCCTGTTTTTCAGTAAATTTTGGGCGAATTTAGGGCTGATTTTAACACATTTTTTTTTGGCCAGGGGGGGCACGTGCCCCCTTTTTACCCCCCTGGATCCGCCACTGCTTTGGAATAATTTTCAAAATAAAAGTACATACAAAACTAAAATATTGAAATAGGTTACAAAGCAATCATTGAAAGTGCATTAAATTTCCATACACTCAATAGACCATTTCAAAATTAATGTTCAGTGAAATTTTCTCATATCCTAATAATTACAAAAGGAAAGGTAAACAATACAGTATGAGATTATCTAGTGCTTCCTATTAATTACAAAAGAATAATCGAGACAATAAAATTATTTGAAGGTGAAAGTTTAAATTCAGATCGTTGAATGAATTGAAAAAACTTTTTTTTTAAAGTAGCGAGAAAGTTACATCGTGGGGGAAAAACAGATTACGCGTTGGCATTGTATGAATCACCAAGTTGGTTGTGCTTGTTTTACCCAATTTCAGTCATCTCAAAGCAGGGGTCGAAACTAGCTAAAAGTGAGACTCTTGATAACAATTGTTGTTTCTAAAACTCCAGGCTAAAACTGTTCCTGGTACGCGAACTTGTGTCCCCTCCCCCCTCCCCCCCCCCCCACCTCGGTCCTCTCGAACAAAAAGTTGCAAGTGTTGATCACACTTTAGTTAGCCAATCAGAATTGAGAGATTGCTCAATACAAGTTATACCTTACGTCCAAAAGTGGAATCTAGTTAAAGCTACAGGGATAGGCTTACCGTTCTATAAGTTGTATGTGAATATGTAGACCTAGCCTTGACAATTAGTTTGCATAAATAATAACAGGTTTGACTCTGAATAATAAATCAATAATTTGTTATACGATCTCAGCTCTATGCAATTATTTATTTTGTTGAATCGCTAAAAAATACAAAAAGTTGTAGACCGGCCATGCCAGGTTTCATGACGCATTGACTACATTAGCCCAGTCGAAAGAGGGCATTTTATTTACACACGTGCAGAAGTCTGCTTCACCCGTCAATATTTTTTGTAAGTTTGATATTATTCATGAATTTGATTGTTTCAGTGTGAAAATGCCTATATTTTGTGATATAAATTGAACAGTTTGTTTCATAAGTGTAAATTTGTACTGATTTGTCGTAAATAAGTAATTATAGAGCGTGTTATGAGGTTGGTGTAACTGTCACCAGTCCCATCTGCTCGTATTTGTGTGTGTTTGAATTTTTCTTCAATTTATTTCAATAAACTTTTGTCTGTTATGAATAGACGTGGATCTATGGCTGATAGAAATCGTTTTGGACTCAAATTCATGGCACATTTTATCTAGTATTTAGATTAACATTTTTGTATGTTTCTTCCTCTCAAAATAATTAAAAACATTGAATCTTCAATTAAAATCCAAGATTTTTACATTAATTTTTTTTTTGAAAAATCATCACTTTTCAGTAGGGGCGCTGGGCCGACAATGAGGATCGTTCGAATAAATGAGGATATCCTCCTAATTGTGGATAAATTGCATCCTGTTTTTATTCTTAGTTGCTCTGCGCTGCGGGTGTAGGGTTCCTGATCTGCGTGCTGGCAATGAGAAAAACGGATTCCGCGTAATAAAATCCACCCAGTCCACTGTCTACTTTGACGGGTTGTCTGTCTTCACAATGAGTCTGTGTGCAAAGTAAGTGTGAAATGCATCAAGGAGCATCACACACGATCGGAATTACAAATTTCGCGAAAATGCGGACGATCCTTTCGATCAAACGTCTATATGCGTTTATGAAGCTAAGTAAGATGATCCACGTTTATGCGGACGATCCTTACTTTCGATCACACGTCTATCTGCATTTACGAAGCTAAGACGATCCTTGTTTATGCGGGCAATCCTAATTCTCGGACCAGTACCCCTAGGCCTACCGGTAGGTAGTACTCAAAATTTTAATTAAACTAGTTAATGTTATAACTTTGGTCATCCAGATTTTGACATGAATTGGAGAGAGCACCCTAAAGCTAACCCTTGGGGTATAGACCCAGGCAAAGACACTGATTACGACTAGGCACTATCTATCGATTACCTGTTTACATCGAAATGTGGGGTGTTTCACAAAGATTCTAAGTCAAACTCAACTCTAAGTTGGACTTAAATATTATGGAGAGCCATTTGTAGCCTTATAATAAAATATATTCATAAGAAAAAAATAAAGTATTTCAGACTTTTCAGTAATTCCACATCAAGAACATGTAATCTCCCATGATAATATAAATTATGAATGATTTGAATCAACACTTTATGCCTTTTGAAATAACTTTTACAAAATAATTTCATAGATGCTAACTGCTTTCCATAATTTTTAAGTCCAAATTAGAGATAAGTTCAACTTAAGATCTTTGTTAAACACCCCCCTGCTGCTGCAGAACCGTTCATATTCTGTGTGAATTTCTGTCACGATGATTAAATCAATGATCCTGATCCTGATCCTGATGACTTTGATCCAAAATTCCATGACAATTGTACATTTTGCAGATTAAATTTGACAAAGACCTGTCGGTAAGGAGCTGATTTTCGAGATGGTTCGTAAGAAGATTGACAACCGCATCAGAGTGCAGATAGAGAATGGCGTTACCCAGGGTCATAGGTCACTCTTTGTTCTTGTGGGAGACAAAGGCAAAGATCAGGTACGTACCAGTTATTGTATGTTTAGGAATAAATTCTATCTTACTCAAAGTGTGTCAATCTTATCTTTCTTATTTCGACTCATTGAACTTTCATTTGGTCTCAAAATCTTGACTGTATCTCAGCGTTTTTCTTTCAAAACTCAGATCTATCTGACACTTATTTCATATGTCAACACCAACATTTGTCAACCAAAACAACCTTAAATGTCATTACTAAGCTGTGTTTTCATGGCCATCTTAATTGCCGTATTGAACATGTTACATTTGTATTACCATCTTCAAAATGTGTTAATTGAAAACAAACTAATTAATGTAACCGTACAAATAACCATGCTCATTACTAATTACACAATTTGTACTTGAATGTGACACCAAAAGATCATTGTTTTTGTCCCATTCATCATAGACTTCATATTAATCTAAGCTTCTTTTGCAGATAAAACTAGCGGCTCTGAAAAACCATTGCAATCTTCCAGAACCTGGAATTCTTGCCTCAAAAAATAGTCTGACGAACTAAAATGTCAGCTTACATCGGTGAAAATGTGCTCTGCATCGTTTACATGTTAATGACCCTATAAGTAGGTTAAGATAACTATGGTATCTTTGAAGGATCTGAAAAAAGCAAGGAATTTTTCATGTTTCACTACAACAGAAATTATTGTTGATAATGATTAGAGTAATAATGATAATAATACAGTAATCATAATTATAATGATAACAATAATGATAATAATAGTAATATTGATCATGATGATATAATGCTGATGATGATAATGATACTTTAATCATAATGATGACGATAATGATCCACAGACCCCCAGATCTTTTGATCAGTGTATGGAAGAATAATTATTCCTAAGGTTTTGGAGATGCTTCATGAATAACTTTGAAAAAGAAAATATTTCCCCTGTGTATTATAAAGTTGTAGGTTTTCTACATCTTACTCACACAAATCTTGTTACATTAAGAGAAAAATTGATATCTTATTTAGAGTTTTTCCTCCATAAAAGATGTTTTAATAATCTGTAATACAGTTTCCTCCATCCAAAGGTGCCCTAAATGATATAAATTTTCCCCCTTTTCTCCATAAGGTGGTGATTTTACATCACATGCTGTCCAAGGCGGTAGTGAAGGCCAGGCCTTCTGTGCTGTGGTGTTATAAGAAAGAGCTCGGATTCAGCAGGTAAGAATATGATAGTATTCAACAGGGGAAAAATACACAGAGGCTCGGGGCGAATTAGCCCCCAAAATGCCCAAAAGAGCCCCAAAAATTTGCATAGAGTTCAATGCAAAACAAATTAAAGGGTGTTATTTTCATGCAAGCAAGCTTGAAAAGTAGCCCCCCAAATTTTCTCATTAATTTTTTTCCTGGTATTCAAAGCAGTCCTTAAATTGGCAATGGAATCTTAAAAATTAAGTTGAGTTCTATTTTCGGAGAATCACTGTGCCTTTTTCTGTAATGGGAAAGGCTTATTCTATAAGCCCTTTAACTCATAGCCTGCCATAAGGCTGCATGCACGCTATTGTTATTCCAGAAGCTTTGGTATTCAAGGTATTCAAAAAAGTCAAAAAGAAAGAGTTACTCAGCATGCTCAGTCAAGACAATCATGAATTGAATCAAGCATGATAATTGACAAGACAAGAAAGTCAAGAGTAAAAACTTATGTTCTGTCTTGACTTGACAGTTCTGACTTCAGTTCAACAAACATCCAACATCAAATTCAAACTCAACATGAACATAAACATGCTCAAATTAAAAAAAGTCGATCAAAGTTCTAACACTGAAACAGTTCACTCATCACTCACTCAACTGTTCTGTTTAGTCTGTTTTTTCATGTTTTAGAACCAATTGTAAAGAAAAATCATTACAAGCTATTCACAAGTTGTATCCTCCCAACAAAGCGATGTTGTTAAGTTGTAAGTTGGGACACACAACAGGCCAGTCAACAGACAACACATTCATGATTCAATTCACATGCATGCACAGCACAACATGCAATCAGCAGTGACCAAGATAAGACACGAATCTCCGCAACACACGGTACGGGAGCAGAGCGGGGGAAACACGCCAGGAATCGTGGTCGCTGTCCACCCGTATCTCTCTCTTCTCAGAATCTCAGAATTGGTGTCCAGACATCGCTTAAAAGCACTAACGTCTAGAGGGGGGTGTCATGTGCATTCAATTAATTGATGTACGGTTCTTTTGGAGGCATAGTTTAAAGGTTTGTGTAGAGCTCAGGTTTTTGACACCTGGCGGGAGGCTGTTCCAGTCTCTTATTGTATTTGGTATGAAGCTATTCAGGTACGCGTTTGTTCGGCATTGTAGTGGGACTAGACGATTGGTATTCTCTCTCACAGATCTTGGTGCTTCATGAACATAATCGGGGATATCCACAGCAGCTTCCTGGTGGAATGCCTTGTAGAATAGCGTTAATCTGCTGTCTTTCCTTCGTTGTTGGAGAGGAGACCATTCCAGGGATTTGAGTAACTCAGAGACACTTGTAGTACGACGATAGTCATTGTAGACGAATCGTGCTGCCCTTCTTTGTACCATTTCTAATTTATCTACCAGGTAAGATTGATGAGGGTCCCATACAGCTGCTGCATATTCAAGTTTAGGACGTACCAGCACCTTGAATGCAGCAGCCTTCACTTTAGCATCGCATCTTGACATCTTCATGTCCTTTGTACATTTGCCACACTCGACCCAGGTGCAGTAAATGGGTACCTGGTAGGATTACTCCTTCAAATACACTGTGCGCTGATTAACAGCTGCTGAGCCTTGTGAAACGCTGGGGTAATAATATTAATTATATAATTTATGTAAAGTGCAGTCATATGTCTTGGGACAGGAATAGGTATGTCTTATTATTATTGTTTGTGTCTCTATTTTGAATGTTTGCAGTCATCGGAAGAAGCGCATGAAGCAGCTCCAGAAGAAGATCAAAGGAGGAATGGTGGACGTTAGCGATGATGATCCTTTCGAGCTCTTCATCGCTGCTACCAACATCCGCTACTGCTACTACTCTGAGACGCACAAGATCCTCGGTAACACCTACGGCATGTGTGTCCTCCAGGTATGTTAGATGCACCTCATTTGTTTTTGATTTATTCATCTAGTAATCCCTTTATGTGTTACAAGGTCTACCAGAAGTTATTCCTTTGTATTACCATGAAAATATAACATTTTTGTTAACACCTACGGCATGTGTGTTCTCCAGGTATGTTAGATGCACCTCATTTGTTTTTGATTTATCCATCTAGTAATCCCTTTATGTGTCACAAGGTCTACCACAAGTTATTCCTTTGTATTACCATGAAAAGATAACATCCTTGTTAACACCTACGGCATGTGTGTTCTGCAGGTATGACAGAGGCACCTCTCATTCCATATTTGGTTTTGATTTGTCCATCTAGTAATCCCTTTGTGTGTCACAAGGTCTACCAGATGTTATTGTACATGAACTTTCCAGAGTCAAATTTGGAAGTGTCATTCTCCATTTAACTTCGTTCTAACTGGGCTTTTTGAGAGCTAGTTTTGTGAGTACTTTTTGGTTTCACGAGACTCAGAAGGCATGTACCTTGCTTATCTTGGAGCTCCAGTTCTATTTGAAACAAGTTTTGCTTTTCATAATTGTAAACTGAATATAACAGCCCTGTAAAAAAAATGAAACCAAGCTTGGGTCGAAAGTGTATTATAGTATTAATGACTGCTTTGAGAGAAATAGTTGTTTTTATACGCTCAAGGGAAGGTTACAATTGTGCTATTGCCCCGAGGCGTGCCGAGGGCAATAGCCCAATTGAGCGTATAAAAATAACTATTTCTCTCAAAGCAGTAAGGGAAGGTTACAATTGGGCTATTGCCCTCGGCACGCCTCGGGGCAATAGCACAATTGTAACCTTCCCTTGAGCGTATAAAAACAACTATTTCTCGAATATTAAAGCAGTCATTAATACTTTTATATGCCGAAAACAAAAGAGTCAACTAATGACACCACCTTGGCCTTTCTCTAGTTTATCTGCACGGTTGTTTTTTATGAGTTTATCTTTGAGAGTAGACTAGATCTAGATTCTAGTCTAAGCAAGATATTTTTACAATTTTGGGGGTGGGCCGGCCCTGTGGGGAATAGAGAGAAGAACGTGCGCTTTCATATGGCACCTCACTTATTGAGTATCACCTTCAGGATCACAACAGATAAAGGTTTGAATCTCGAATTGAAAAAAAAAACTTTTCGCATGGTCGCGCAATGTACGTAGACTGCATAGAGACTGCATTGCATGTAATCTCTGTGGGAAGAATATAGCACACAACATCGGGTGCGCGATCAGACACCCTGACAACTAGATCTATTTTCGTCTACGTCTATGCTGGTACTCCATTTTCAGCAACTAAACGAACATGTTTATGGATAATTTCACGTACCTTTTTTGTTGTTCTTGCTGTCAGCGAGTCTTGCATTTGATAAGTTGAAATCTTGGGACAGTTTCTTTAGCCATTTTTGTCTTGTTTGGAATTGTCTTGTCTTGTATGAAAATACCGACCAATTCTTCGCACACGTACGGTATCCTCGATCGCGCAAACCATTTTTTAACATGTAAACCTATGGGGTAACCATGGAGACTGAACTATTTTCCCGGTAACCATGGTTACTGGGATTTTAGAACTGTTTTAACCAAGGTTACTGGGAATTTTACAGAAATAGTTAAAGTTTAATGCAATTTCGACCAATCAGATGGCTAGATTTCTTAACCCTTACTGTACTGGGCTATTTTGAGCACCCTCTGACTGGGGGGGGGGCCTCGGAGGCCCCCCCCCTATGATCTCGGCCGTCAAATGTCCGATCAACGCGAAAATTTGCATATTTGTAGATATTTACGTAAGGAACAAGATGGTATAATTAGATTTTTCCTAATATGCAAATTTTTGTCGTTATAGCCTAATTAATTATGCAAAATGCTAATTTTATGCATTTCACAGAAAACTCTACATATTTGTCCGTAGACTTGTGAAGAATCTTGAAAATGTATTGAATAAATGTTTCCTTCATCTCAAATTGATGAGGTTTCATTATTTTTATGATATTTGAAAATGCATAGGCTAATTTGCATAAATTATGAATATGAAAATTACGCATTCATGAATATCAAATCTGGAACTATATTTAGGGAACTAGAATAATTACAAAAATTGTCAGACTCCACTTTTTGAATGTTGAAACTCATTATTCATAAAAAACTTCTTTTCTATTACAAAATAGTTATTTGATGTAATTAATAATGATAATTTATGCAAATTTGATGCGATTTTCAAATATTTATTTTCTTATGTATTTTATTGTTTTTTATTTCTTATTATATCTATTGTTTTATTTCTTATGTTTTCTTTTGTTCTGGAATACATCAAGTTACTCTGAGAAACATATAAAAGCAATTTGATATCAATTCATATCTTCACATTTCTGCTTGTACATGAATATATGCAATTATAGCACTTTTTTGATGACATGCGCATACTAATTGTTATGTAACACCTTACAGGTATATCCGATTTTGACGAAAATGGTATCAAAATGTGCGCAAGACTTGAGGGAAAAAAGTCATGAAACGACAATTCAAAATTCCAAGCGGTTGCGGCGCGATCTTCGAAAATGTCAGGGGGGGGGGCCTCCCAGGCCCCCCCCCAGTACAGTAAGGGTTAAGTGAGGTATATAAAATTTCTTATGTAGCAGAGGATAAATGATTTCCTTTGTATTAGCGCGAATGGATAAGATCCTTGGTATTAAACATGTATGGCATGTGTGTTTTGCAGGTATGTCGGACATACTTCTACATCCCCTCTGGGTGTGTTTGTCAGGGCTATTACAGTAAAACCTAGATATAAAGACCACCCAAGGGAGACAAGAAAAGTGGTCATTATAGACAGGTGGTCTCTATGCAGAGGATCTTTTAGTATATGTTTTGATGGAAAACCAGTTTCAAGGGAAACAACAAATGTGGTCTTTGTAGACAGGTTGTCGCCTAAACCAGGTTTGACGGCGGGAAAAAGGTGTGTCTTATACACAGAGATTCACGGTATGTCACACCCACTGTGCTCTTACATTCATATAGTCTCGTAAAATATACTACAAAATACTTGTGACCTCTCTCGACCCAGGACTTTGAGGCCATGACCCCTAACCTCTTGGCCCGTACCATTGAGACTGTGGAGGGGGGTGGCATCGTGGTGATCCTTTTGCGCAGCGTGTCGTCCCTCCAGCAGCTCTACACCATGTCCATGGACGTTCACTCTCGCTATCGGACGGAATCTCACCAGGACGTCGTTGCACGTTTCAACGAACGGTAGGAGACTCCAATCTTTTTTTCTTCTTCATTTAACAAGTCTTTGGGTGTTCTGACATTTGCCCCAGTGATGTTTGCTTGGGATTTATGTTTGTAAAAATTATAGGGTTAGGCAGAGAGATGCATTTTGATTGTAGGTCGAGGACATTATTTTTCTCCGGAGTTTGGGCTTGATGAATTACCATCAAACTCAAGATATGTATGTATGTATCTTGCTGAGCCAATGGGTCATACATGTATATGAAAAAATAGCTTGTAATCACGATATTCTGAAAACCTGTTACTGGAATACAATCAAACTTGAATTTAAAAAATTGCTCCTGTTTTGGTTTGTAAAATTGCTCTATGGCGGAGGCATCATTTTGGACTGCGCGCAGTCCAAGATCCATCTAGTTGAGATTTTGATTAGTGCAGGATATTGACAGTGGAGAAGCTGTTGCTAGAGCATACTACCATGAGGTTGTTAAAGATAAACTTTAGTACTGGTAATGCGATTGCATTGTGAAAGAAAAGGTGTGGAAAGGATCAGAAACAGTTGATCATGTAGCATGTTGGTATTGGTGTGCACTGCAAGGTTCTGGAGTCATCAAAATCATAATAAATTTGACCGAGTCTTGGTAAAGTAACAAGCACTCACATAGAAAGCTATATATGGGACAACACACATGGTGTCGGGGCTAGTACTATCTTGATGTCCTTGTCTTTCTATGCTCATTACTCAGCCAGTATACATTTTCTTCCAAAATTGTTTGGCACATGTCATTTATTTGTAATCTTGAACATTCAGTGTAAGTTTCGTTTGATTCTGTGAGAATTGTTATTTTTTTTTACCAGTACTGGAGTTTATCTTTAATGTAACATAAACCATTCAAGTGAATGGATATTGCCTTTTTTTTCTCACACAGGCTCAGATTAGTCAATATTTGCAAACATCTTATACTTGAATACACAGATTCCTGCTATCGCTGGCGTCATGTGATAGCTGTATGGTGGTCGATGATCAGCTTCAGATTCTACCTCTGTCTCAACACACTCTCAACATTGAGGCCATACCCCCAAGACTAAGGTAAGTAGTTGTAGGAGGAATTGTCCCTAGCTGTATTAACACAAGACCATCGTAATTTTAACCTTTGAGTTTTTAAAACCTAAAATGAAGTTTTAAATGACAACCTAGTAAGAATGATGCAGATCACCAGTTAATCAACATTGAGACTGCTTAAAGCTTTAGACAAGAAGCTGGGCAAAAGAAAATTTTAAATACATGCTTGTAAAACATTTAAGTAAATTGTGTCTGCATTGCACATACCTTCAAATTAGATCCCATCCTAACCCAACTACTGCTTTTAGTTATCATGTTAATCAAAACATTGCTGGCAGTTGTAACGTTTGAGTAAACTTGAAGTTTCCAAAAAGAATGGTGTCACATTCCCCATGAGAGCCAACTTCTATGGCAGTGTGTCCTTAAAACGGCATGGCAAAATATAATTATTCTATTGGTAAATGAATTGCAAATCGGTAAAGAAAATATAAGTTTGTGCACCCCAGAAAGACCCCCAAGTTTAGTCTGTGTGAGATAATATATAAATTTATGAAACGAAAACTGCAAAACCCTGCAAAGACATGGGTTAGTGTGGTATAAGTTAGAAGCCCTTTGCTGAGGAATAAGCTCTTCCTGTAAATATTATTTCATTTCACTTTTTATAGGAGGATTCTCAAAGCCCTGCGGAGATTGAACTGAAGGAGTTAAAAGCATCCCTGCAGGACACACAGCCTGTCGGAGCTCTTATCAACTGTACAAAAACCCTTGACCAGGTATGTCTCAAGGCATCTTGAATTTCAATTCCAATCCCAATCCCAATCCCAATTCCAATCCCAATCCCAATCCCAATCCCAATCCCAATCCCAATCCCAATCCCAATTCCAATTCCAATTCCAATCCCAATCCCAATCCCAATCCCAATCCCAATCCCAATCCCAATCCCAATCCCAATCCCAATCCCAATCCCAATCCCAATCCCAATCCCAATCCCAATCCCAATCCCAATTCCAATTCCAATTCCAATCCCAATCCCAATCCCAATCCCAATCCCAATCCCAATCCCAATCCCAATCCCAATTTCAATTCAAATTTCAATTCAATTTCAATTTCAATTTCATTTCAATTTTAATTTATTGTCCAAGGAAATTTTCCTTTACTTACATTTTGCATATCAATATCATATAACTTTACAAAGATATATAGATTATTCATAAATGTAAGTCAATTAATTTTCTTGAATATGTAAAGAATAACATTAATGTCAAGGTTTGAAAGAACAGTTATTTCATTAAGAAAAATAATATTTTCTGTCCTGATTAGGTTCTGTTGAGGGTCGAACATATAGCTATAATATTAACTGTAGTGTCCTCAGAAATATTGCAGATTTGTGCAGGTAAATTGTGAGTTTAGGCTTGATTGCAGAAGAAACCAAGGTTAGGGTAGGGTGAGGTTTAGAGTAAGGGTTACTTGGTGGAAGAGGTATTCTGCAGTTCTTGAGTTTCTAGTTGATACAACATGTATATGTAGTTGAAGGACATGCTGTAATATTATTCCATGGATGTACATTCCTTCTTCTGTCAATAGGCCAAAGCTCTGCTGAAGTTTGTGGAGTCCATTTCAGAGAAGACACTTCGCAGCACGGTTTCCATGACAGCAGCAAGAGGGCGTGGCAAGTCCGCTGCATTGGGATTGGCTATCGCAACTGCCGTAGCATTTGGGTAAGTTTCAAATTAGAAATGTCTCAAATTATAGTGGGAATATATTTGCTCATATTCTTACTAGTTTACTAGGATCTAGCATTGGGAAAGAGTTATTATGACTCTTTTCACCAATGAGTGTAACTGCACCTTACATAATTCATATAATTCCCTTCTCATTTTTCAGATATTCCAATATCTTTGTGACGGCGCCAAGCCCGGAGAATATCCGCACCCTGTTTGAGTTCATCTTCAAAGGCTTTGATGGGCTTGACTACCAGGTAAGCCGCTAAGAAGAATAAGAGATTCACTTGTGATAAATCATTACATTGCCTCCAGATCTTTATGCTTTCAAAACCCCAGATTTTGATTCAAACCCTCGACCTTCACATCTCCAGTCAAGCGCCTTAAACCACTCGACCACTCGACCACTCAACCACGTTTCTTTTATTTTCTTGATACGTAGGAACATCTTGATTATGAGTTAGTCCAGTCGACCAACCCAGAGTTCAACAAGGCCGTCATCAGGGTCAACATCTTCAGAGAACACAGACAGACCATACAGGTATTAAAGAATAGTCTTGAGAAAGTGTATGAAAAACATATTTTATATTGCAAACAGTTTACAATTCATATGATATTATGATCGTATCGATCCAGAAAAAAGAGGAAAATTAATGTCTTCAGTGCGATCATGAATCATCTGTCGGTGCTTTAATTGCGAATACATGTTATTTTATAACAGTACGTTTGTAGAAAATCTATGTTTAAACCCTTACCCTGAATTGTACTTTTTCTTCTTTTTTTGAATTTTTTATTTTTTCGTTTTTATTTAAACAGGGCAACTCTCTTAGTATTAATACTGTTTAAATTTTGACAAATAAAAACTAAGTGCGTACATATCACGTGTGGAAAATGTTCTTTAAAATATTATGTTTGATGTCACAGAGTCTGGACTATAAGAATAAAAATGGGCAGGGTCTTTTCTTTTCATCGTACTTATAGCAGTTATCATACATTAATTTTTTAAACATCACTTTATTGTTCAGAACTTGCACAACAAAGGAGAACAATAGCCCAGGACAATTCCATTTTACTGGAAAATGCAGGGCATTAAAAGTACATACATGTAAAAATACAGTGAATAATGTTATGTAACATCAACGAAAAATTAACTTATTTTACAACATAGTGAAAGCTGAGGAGTTATGGATATTCCTAGCTAAAGATGAAATAAGAGGAGCTAAATATTGAAATTTCATTTGATATATCAACTTAATAAATACGAAACATACATAATGAGTATTATAAGAGTTTGATTTGAGTTAATGTTTAATACAAGAGGATTCTATCAGTGCGAGGCAATGAAAAGAGGCGAGCAGTAGAAAGAAAATATAAGACTGGTTACAAGGTGTATTGACCAATTTGTGTGTGTGAGTAATTACATACTTGAAATGCGAAGGGGAATTTTGGTTTCCCATTTATTGGCATTCTTTGAGTAGTAAATGACAAACGAAGAAACAATAGATAGTTTGGATAGAGTCTGTCGAACTTGTTTCAAATTGACAGGTTTTCCTATTTCTTTCAACAGCTGCTTTAGCCTCGTCACATTGTCTGGCGAAATATGACCCAAACCAAGAGTGTAGTAATAGTATTGTAGTAATAGTATTGCTAGTAATGCGTTGCAACATGACCTATGACCTTTGTCTTTATATGCATTCAATTCCAAAGTACATCCATCCTGGCGACGCCCATAAGTTGAGCCAAGCAGAGTTGGTGGTGATTGACGAGGCAGCTGCAATCCCGCTTCCTCTTGTCAAGGAGCTCCTCGGGCCATATCTGGTGTTCATGTCCTCGACCATCAATGGGTAAGAGAGATCGGGGGTGATAGTGGTGGTAGTGGTTGTGGTGGATAGGTGGTAGTGGGGGGATTGTGATGACGCTCGTGGTGATGGTGGTGATAGTGATGGTGGTAGTGGTGTGGTAGTCTAGGGGATGATTGTCAGGACGACTGACTCAGAGGTGATCGTGGTGGCAGGGAGGTTGGTGACAATGATGTTGTCTGTTATACAGGTACCCATAGTATGAGAACTGATGAATAGTTTGTATGTGTCTAAGAAAATATATTTACACAATAACCTTTTGAATCTGGAATTGCTCAGACATTTAATATGTGACTCATCCATTTTACACATTTCCTTGAATCTTGATCAACCATGCACTCACAGGTATGAGGGTACTGGCAGATCCCTCTCCCTCAAGCTTCTTCAGCAGCTTAGAAAGCAGAATGCAACATTTGGGGTCAGCAGCTCTGCTGCAAACAAGGCATCCACTTCCCTTTCAACAGGGTCATCTGCCTCAGGTAAGGTCAAAGGTTACTATTAAATGATTGTCATATTAATGATCTTGATGATAATAGTAATGATAATTAGTATATTGGTTTACTTTTTCAGAAATTTTGCATCGCAGCCCAAGGGCTGTATTGTCCTAATTAATGATGGTGGCAATTTTACATTGTAATGCATTGTTGTCCAAACGTGTATAAATGAATATTGTAGAAACATGGATGACATCAACAGCTGTGGATGCTAAATGGAAATTTAAAAAAAAACATGTGGTGTTCCTCATGGATCACTCCTTAGTCCATTTTTGTTCACACTGTGTACTAGGAGCAAGGAATTTTGCGGTTCATCCATTTCTGATCAAGATTTAAAGATATGATTTCCTGCTCAATTGCTTTGTTAAGGCTCTTAAAGAACGGGACTGTTTATTTCTGAATAATCAAGTTAATTTCTAATACAAAATGGACCTCTCTGTATCTTGTCTTCAGGTCGTGTACTACATGAGGTGACGCTGGAGGAGTCCATACGTTACAGTGAAGGTGACAGTGTAGAGAAGTGGCTCAATGAACTCCTGTGTCTCAATGTCGCTGAGGTCCAGCGGATATCGTCAGGTTGCCCTCTTCCTGCAGATTGTGACTTATATCCTTTTGACAATTATGCTTCTGCTGCTGAAGATTGTATTTTACCAGGATTATAGATAATGAACAGTAATGGTAGCGGAGAAGGAAATTGAAATGAAATAATTTAAATTTTCTTTTATGTAAAAAGACTCCTGTAGAAGATATTTGTAAAGTTTTATCCATGAATATGGTAGATAGTCATGACTACTTCTCATGAAATTTCCCAAAACCCAAGATGAACATACACAACCAGATATTATTAAGCTTTGATCTAAATTGTTAAGAATTCAAGAACTTTCTTCCTACCAGTTACCCAATCTAACACCTGGGTGGAGAGTGGCACAAGTAAATAGATGCCTTGTCAAAAGACATTATTAACTTCGATGCTAAGGCTCGAACTTACAAAATGTGTGACCCTGGCATCACCAGTCAAATACTTAAGAAATTTGACTATTACACCTCTTCGCACTGTTAATGGACTGTATTGTTGGAAAAAAATCATTAGATACACCAGGGACCTGTTCTACAAAGCCTTTTGCAATGACAAATTACAAAAAGCGGTGACAAATCTGCTGATAACCAATCAGAAGCAAGGATTTCAGTAGCCTATAACAAAGACTCTCATTTGTCACTGATGACAAGTTTTATGAAATGGGGCCCTGTATGTACATTATTACTTCAGGTTTAAGACCTTGACTCCTCAGCACATACTACATCAACAGAGATACACTGTTCAGCTACCACAAGGCATCTGAGGTGTTCCTTCAACGATTGATGTCCATTTATGTTGCTGCGCATTATAAGGTGAGAGTCATCCGAATGTTTTCCATCTGTCTTTTCCATTTGTATATTTTTTAGTGGGTGGGTGAATTAAAGGTAAAGACCAGTATTGGAAACGCCCCGATTTCAAAAAATGAAATGGAAGCTCTCATTACCAATCATGTGAAAGAATATGTTTTGACTAATACATGATGATACAAAATTTGCTGGGAAACCGCCTACTAATTCATATATTTGGTAAATTTGTTTCTCTCATGGTCTGTGAGAGATATAGGGTAGTCCCATATACATCTTTCTGTGTTAGTGCTTGTAACTTTACGAAGAATGGGCCAAATTTCTTATCATTTTGATGATTCCAGAACCTTGCTGATGCTAGATGCTAGATGATCAACCTTTTCTGATCGATTCCACAACGTTTCTTTCACAATGCAATCGCATGACCATAACTGGTCTTTACCTTTAATGACAAGTGAAGATGTAAAGATGAAGTTACAGAGAGTCTATATGTTCTTGCTTTCCTGTGTTTTGTGAGGAACAGAAATGTAAAGCACCTAACTCTAATGTCATTGTAATGATTAAAATTAAATTTTAAAAAAAAATCACAATTGAATTTATTTAAAAAAATTGATGCTGTATACTGTGGTTTATGATTCTTCTTTGGAAGTTTGGTCAATTTGAACTGCCAATGTGGCTAATAAGTGCTAAATTGGAAATTATATTTGATGAGAATTGCACTATTGTCATGTTTGTTTTGTTTTTGATTGATTCTAGAACACTCCAAATGATCTTCAGCTGCTCTCTGATGCTCCAGCCCATCATATCTTTTGTCTGTTAGGACCAGTGAAAGCATCACAGAGCGGTCTACCAGAAATACTGTGTGTCTTACAGGTGAATAGGGAGAGAAAGAAATGGAGAGAGAGAGAGAGAGAGAGAGAGAAAGAGAGAGGGGGGGGGGGGGGGGAGTGGAGTAAGTGATGGATGGGTGATCTAGGCAGAGAAAGCAACATATCCTCTGTCTGTTAGGACCAGTGAAACCATCATAGAGCGGTCTACCAGAAATACAATGTGTGTTTTAGATAAATATTGAGAGACGGAGAGGGAGAAAGAGACGGATATATGTATGTATGTATGTATATATATATATATATATATATATATATATAGAAAGAGAGGGAGAGAGAGAGAAAGAGAGGAGGAGGAGGAGGGGGGGGGGTAGAGAGAGAGAGAGAGAGGAGGCAGGAAAGGGAGGGGCAAGGAGAACACTGAAAAGAGAGAAGATATTTGGAAGTGGGGAGATGAGTATTGGCATAATGTGGCACTCTGTCATCTTTATTACATTTTTAATTTTTCTATTACCTGTAGGTTTGTCTGGAGGGAGAGATTTCCAAAGAAACGATAATGAGCAGTCTGAGTAGAGGCAAGAGAGCGTCTGGTGACCTCATTCCATGGACAATCTCACAACAGGTAGGCATGTACAGCTATCATGAGATATGATTGGTTACCAGTCTGAGTAGAGTCTGGTGACCTGATTCCATGGACAATCTCCCAACAGGTAGGCATGTACAGCTCTCATGAGATACGATAGGTTACCAGTCTGAATACAGTCCGGTGACCTGATTCCATGGACAATCTCCCAACAGGTAGGCATGTACAGCTATCATGAGATATGATTGGTTACCAGTCTGAATACAGTCCGGCGACCTGATTCCATGGACAATCTCACAACAGGTAGGCATGTACAGCTATCATGAGATATGATTGGTTACCAGTCTGAGTGGAGTCTGGTGAACCTGATTCCATGGACAATCTCACAACAGGTAGGCATGTACAGCTATCATGAGATATGATTGGTTACCAGTCTGAGTAGAGTCTGGTGAACCTGATTCCATGGACAATTTCACAACAGGTAGGCATGTACAGCTATCATGAGATATGATTGGTTACCAGTCCAATTATTTATTATTAGGTGGATTAAGTGGTTTACCAGTATTGGTAAGTAAATTTCTATTTTGATTTCGCTTTCCAATCCAATCCAGGAATTTATAAAGGGCCAATATCTAGTTGCCTAATCAAAGGCGCTGATGAGACTGAAAAACTTCCAAAAATATCTGTTCATGATTCTAACTGGGAAAAACAGTGACTAACCGTAAGAAATCTGAAATAGGTATGTCTTTAGTTGAGTTCTGAAAGTGGATAACTGGTGACAAGAGCGAGGGTTTTGGGGAAGACCATTCCACAATCTCGATGCACAGGCAGTAAATGATCGATCATCTAGAAGAGAGCGTGTTCGAGGACTCTCAAGCAGGTATTTACCTGCAGATCGCAAATTAGTTTGAGGGTTATAATACAATGATAATACATTTATAATTGTTGTATGATTGACTTTATGATTGATTGTAGTTTTGTATGTTTTCAAATTTGTTTTCAAATGAAAGATATATGGTAATGTGTTTATATTGATTTTAATGTAGATTGTGATTTTGCTTTTGCTTTTGCATCATAGTTTCAAGACAACGACTTCCCAAGCCTGTCGGGCGGGAGGGTGGTCAGAATAGCTACACATCCAGATTACCAAGGGGTAAGTCATCTTTTCATTTAATTCATTTAATAAAATATATTTGGAGGAGAGGATGGAGGGGGGTGTGGAGGTAAGGGAGAAAAATTGGAAGAGGAGGGTTACGGGAAGTAGAAAAGGGAGGTGAATGCGAGAAAGGGGGAGATAGGGAGGCGTGACTATTTGTATCTTTGTATTTATTTTCCTGATTTTCTTTTCTGACACAGATGGGGTATGGTAGCCGAGCTATGAGCCTTCTTCAAAAGTACTACCAAGGAGAGTTTCCCAGTATGGCAGAAACACCTGAAACAAAGACTATCACTACAGTGGAGAAAGAGGTTTGTTATGAAAGATATCTTCTAATGCAACTGCCTACTGTTTTCCCATTCATATCTCTACAATATTTTGATAGAAAAATATATTAATAATAATTTATATAGCACAACTACTATATAGAGAAACTCTACTGCGTTTAATAGAAAGTATCATATTATGACCCCGCCTGTAGTTGAGCCGCCATAATAAGGCGCTAAGCATTCATCTGGGTGGAGAGTGGCGAATTTAGTTAAGTGTCTTACACGCAACATTAACTGTTTTTATCTTACTTACAATCAGGCCGTGGGTTTGCTGGAAGAGGTGATCGTCCCGAGGAAGAACCTACCCCCTCTACTGTCCAAGCTGAGCGAGAGACCAGCTGAGAAACTGGACTACATTGGCGTGTCGTTTGGACTGACCGCTGACTTGCTCAAGTAAGCAATGCTGATGATGCTCATCTAAATCCTTAATTCAATCTGGAAATTAGACTATAAACCCAAAACTAACCCTTCATGTTGAAGAAATATTACTTCAAGCAAATGTTGCCAAATTACATTTCAGATAACCATTGTGGGAGATATGAATCGCATCAAAATTTGAATGACTCTTGCACTTTTACTTAAGTTTTCTGCATACTTTTTCCCCATTTCTTCCCAGGTTCTGGAGGAAAGCAGGGTATCTTCCAGTCTACCTGAGGCAGACTGCGGTAAGTCTCTTTCCCTCTACACTTTGTGAGTGATTGGGTTTCAGGTTCTTAAAAAAAAAACAGTCATATTTAGGTAGAGCTTCTTATTATGACCAATCCAACAAATTTAAGTTTCATGACTACAGTTCTATGATTTATCTTGTATTGATTATTGATTATTTTTACTGGACGGCAAGTTCAGGTGCCCTTTTTACGCTGCACTGTATACCAGTTTGTTGAATTTGTGCATTTCATTTTTTTTAAAATCACAATACTTATGGATATAATGTCATAAAAAATTAGGAAAGAAAAAAGAAACACAGTGGAAATCTTACCCCCCCCCCACCCCCATCCCCTCTCCCTCATTGGTTGAATTATACCATTGAACATCCCCCAGATTGTAATTTTATCAACAATACACAGTTCAAGTTTACAATAAAAAATAATTTCTGATTTCTATCTCTTTGAACAACAGAATGATCTAACAGGAGAACACTCGTGTATCATGCTGAAGACTGTACAAGAATCAGACACAGAGGGCGCCAATCAGGAAACATGGCTCACAGCTTTCTGGACAGGTATAAAACTCTCCTTTCCAAGACATGAGAAGTATTCCCATGATACTATTCTCTTTCAATGCCCTACCTTGTAAAGTAATGTTATCATTCTACAGAAGAAAATCCTGCAGGTATTTTTTAATGGGGGAATTAGTTTGAGTATTTTGGGGCCATGAATATTCATACAAAGGAAAGGTTCGTTGGCTAATGTCCTGCAGTTAACTTTTTAAAATGAACGTTTTATTCTATATTGCAGACTTCAGGAAGCGGTTCATGTCTCTGTGTGCGTATCAGTTCAGAGCTTTCAAGCCTTCCCTAGCCCTCAGTGTGCTCTTCTGCAAGGCGTACAACAAGATGAAACCACAACGTAAGTTTTTCTTTACATTAATAATAATAGTAATAATAATAATATGTCTTGTTTACCCAGGGTAGCCTCATCAGTATTCATACTGTTCTCCCTGAGGGCCCTGCAATCATATTATTACCCCGGTCATCTGATTCAGGCTTACCCGAACACAATGTATGCACATTCTCCACTCCCTGGGGAGCATTCCAGCCAGGCATGCTTCAATCAATCAGTTGATCAATCAGTCTTTATTCATTCTCCATTATCAATGAACGTGACAGGCTTTGAAATATATACAGATCGCTTTTAGAAATTAAATTGTCCATTCATGTATTTCATGATCTGATGCTAAATGGGAAGAACTAACTGGAACATCATTGAAGCCTATATTAGGTTTGACAAATTGGTGGTCCCAACAGTTGGCAGTTGTGGCAAAAATGTAGATATTACTGCAGAAGAGACGATGTAAGAAAAAACAAAGGCAATGTTAGATGCTGCTTGTAAGTGTCAGCTTGCATGTAGATATACAGTAGGCTTGCAGGTGCACCATGTGAGAGAGAGAGAGAGGGTTGAGGAGTCAGAGTCCTTTTCAGGACTCCTCAACCCTCTCTCTCTCTCTCTCTCACATGGTGCCCCCGCAAGCCTACTGTATAAAGGCAATGTTGCCAATGTGTTAATTTTCAAAAATATTCAATTTCCCCTCTTTTAGCAATGACTGCAACGGAACTAGAGTTGCTCTTCTCCAAGTATGACATCCAGAGGCTTGAGCTCTACTCTCGGAACATGGCCGACTACCACCTCATCACCGATCTGCTGCCCTCTGTGACGAGACTCGTCTTCCTCAAGAAGATCAACTTCCAACTCTCCGCTGTTCAGTTTGTAAGAAGATCTGCCGCTGTAGAACCAATCCTAGCAATATCTAAACACCTTCACTGTCGACAACATTTGATGTCCATTGCACGTTTTTGATTGGGGATGGGAATCGGACCAATTTGTTGACGGTTCTAGAGACAGAACTTTTAAAAGCTCTTGACTCTCACAGCTTACATGAGTTACTATATTCTCTCATAAAATGTATTCAGCAGAGATGCCAGTTTGCAGACAATAGCCTGAATTCAAGCCCTGACGAGTTATTTTCAGACCATAGTTTAGACTTTTTTGTATACAAAATAGCTCATTCTAGGTGATTTTCAGGCCCTCTTATCAATTCTAACTGGCATCCCTGATTCATATATATATATATATATATATATGTATATTTGAACCCAATGACTACTAAATGCTTTAATTCCCCTGGGCTTCATACAGGGACCACTTGGCTCCAGTAGGCAATGTGTTAAAGTTATCTTTAGAATGTTAATAGTTTGCAAATGGCTGAAATTCTCTAATTGGGATTTATTTATGGATTCTACAGATGTAGTGAAATTATCTAGAATATACCAAGCAGTCCAAAGCTAAAGCTCAAGAACTTTTCAAGAAACAAAAACAAAATGCAAAAAATAAGAATATAGTACCGGAATACAATATGGTTCTGTAATAAAATATCAATAAATTTGATCCAGGTTATATCGGGGGCCCTGTTAAAAAAACTTGTTATCACTAACACATTGCAGAAATTGTTAAAAGTTACTGACATCATTGCATATGATCCCCTGAGAGCTAATTTTGACTCTTGTTTATTGATTAAAATTGATATGAACAAGGGCTCAAGCGTCCTTGAATCCAGAAAACCTAAAAGTATGCTAATGAAGCCCTACCAGAAAAACAAGAAATTGACTAGTACACAAATAATACACAGCAGTGAGTACATTAGTAAGAATTACCCACACAAGGTACCTTTAGAACAGTATAACACTCCTGAGGCGATATCCGAGGTATGTGTTTGGACTGTTTCGAAGGTACTGAGTGTGGATAATTTTACTAATGCCCGAACAAAATGATGTGTATTATTTGTTTTATAAGATGATGTTTTATAACATGATTTTACTAATGACCGGCCATTAGTAAAATCACGTTTTAGGCAAAATATATGCCTGGTCGCGTATACGCTTTCAACCAATCATTTGAATAGGATCCACTTCATTATCTTATAAACATTGCTATTTTCATTATCCACAGAGCATCCTTCTAGGCCTTGGTCTACAGCACAAGACCGTGGACGTCCTTGAGAAGGAGACAGAGGTCCCTGTCTCTCAGCTCCTGGCCCTGTTTAACCGCACCGTCAGGAAGGTCGTGACGGAGCTCAACAGCGTCCTGGAACGGGAGGTGGAGAAAGACATGATGGAGGAGAAGGTGGTCAACATGGAACCGACCAGACAGACAATGGCTCAAGAATTGGTAAGGAGAGAGGGATGGATGGATGGAGAGTGAAGTAAGAGGGAGAGAGAGAGAGAGGGAGAGTGAAGTGAGAGGGAGAGAGAGAGAAAGAGAGAGAAAGACAGTCAGATAGATAGCAAGATACAGATGCTTGAAGGAGAGGTGGTGACCATGGAACCAACCAGACAGACAATGGCTCAAGAATTGGTAAGGAGAGAGGGATGGAGAGTGAGAGAGAGAGAGAGAGAGAGAGAGCTAGGTAGACATACCTGCCAACCACCCCGATTTAGGCGGAGTTTCTCCGCATTTTTCATACCATCTCCGAATTCCGAGTGCATGCCTCAAAACTCCGACTTTTTTTAATTTTATTTATTTATTTATTTATTTTTTTTTTATTTATTTTTTTTTTAAATAATTTTTTTAAAATTAATATTTTGTGTGTGCGTCCGCCATTTTCAATGGCAAAATGTCCATTCTGTCCTGTTAAGTATCCTACAAGCATCTCACATCAGCAATTTGGGGATGTTTATTCATACCTGCGTATAGCCCACGTGTATTTATATTACATGTGCAGTTGATACACTGTATACATTGGCGTGTTTTCTTCAATGCTTGTGCGATGACTGCGATCGTGGAAGCTTGTTATTTACCGGACTTCCTCAGATTTATTTTGGATTACTACTACTATATACCTTTGCAAAATAGGGCTCCTAACTGAGGTGGGTAGTGAAACATGTAGTTTTGTGAGTGTTCACATTTCAAAATTTGTTTATGTGTGGGGCGAAAAGGTTGAAGGAAAAGGCCCATTTGCACCATTAAAATGAAGAGAAAAAAAAATAGATCCTAAAGTCCTGTGTACCCCCCCCCCCCCCCCCCCAATCTACGGGCTACTACCCCAATCCTTCGGTGGTTCGCGACCTCGTAGTCCATCCAGAAAAATTTACTCCTAATTTCTCTTGTCTCAGGTTGGCAGGTATGGGTAGATAGATAGATAGGTAGATATATGGCTAGATAATGTAGATAGGTACATGTACGTAGAAAGATAGAGAGAGATAGAGAGCGAGAGGATAGACAGTTGGATATATAGACATAAATAGTGAGATCAATAGATGGATAGATACATGTAGATGGATTGATGAAAGGAAAAGGTAGAGAAAGGAGTGGTGAAGGAGAGAGATGGTCAATATGGATCTGACCAGACAGAGTATGGCTCAAGAACTGTTTAGAGTATTAAATGGAATATCTAAACATGTGAATGTAAATTGATTGTATAATGTAACTCAATATCAATCAAGAATATCTTAAGATCTAATGCATCGCTGCCTCATAAACACATGGGCCCGAATTCACAAAGGAGGTTGAAATTTGACCCATAGTTTAAATCTTCATTTATATAACCCATGGTCTAAAATCAGGGCAAAATATTAAAGTGCGACACAGTCAGAGGGACAATATTAGACCTGCGCAAGGCAAGGTATGCTTAATTTGCGATAAATTTTAAACCATGGGTTAAGAAAAACCTCCTTTGTGAATTTGGGCCAAAGTGACTCCATAACACAAATTATTCTTTTTCTTTATCTAT